GACAATATTTTATCCTTTTGACACAGAATCAGCTCCATCATGATATGCTGAAAAGAAAGATAGATGTGGGGTGGACAGAGCAAGCTTGTTTTGCTTTGCCTTCCCATGTTATACGCTGCGCAAGTGTGACACTGCTTTTCTTTCTGCCACAACAATGACCTATAGGTACTGACTCAGTCTGTGATGGCACTCAAAGGCCTGATGTTGTGGTGTATGGTCGCCGTTGTTTCTCTGTCTCTCCTCCAGTCTGGCTTTTGATTGCTCCTGCCTGAGTTTTGGATTTCAGGATGTTCTCTTCAGCCTCAGGAAAAGTCTCAAGTGAAAGATTCACCTTTTCCTGCATTAAGTCAGTCTTTCTCCATGTTGAAGTGTGCACTCCTCTTTCAGGAGGGGAGGTGAGCGTCCATCAACCCCTCCCTCTTCTTCTCTCTTCGTCACGCCAGCCCAAAGTGGTTCTCCACCCTCTGCTCCTTTCCAAGTCCCATCTGGGGTGCCAATATGTAGTGACTTCTGCCGCTATTGTGAAGAATCTTTCTCAGAGTCTTGGAGTTTTGATGCCAGAAGAGATTTTATTTTCAGAGACAATAAAACCTGAGAGAACTCTGCAGAGCAATCTCTCGAATCTTTTTGTGTATCCTCTTATATACAGGTTTTTCTCTAGGCATGTTCAATTCATTTCATTCATATGTATTATAGGATCACGATGCAGTCATGAGGCCTTCATTTTATGTTCTGTGAAAATAAGGGCCCCATTATGTGCCATCATGTGCTTATCATATGTCTGCACATTCCATTCTCATACAGATTTCTATATATGCAGGCAAATACACATGATTATACTAGTAGAATAACTTAATACATAAATGGCTATCTTCTCATTGATTATACTTGAATCATTTATATTTTGATTAATTAAACTCTTCTTCACGCTCCGGTAGTAGGTGGGCTCGTGTGGAGATACAATCCAGACTCACGCCCAGGAAAGGAATATTTTGCGTGGGTTGCAGCTGGCTTTTTTGCATATTGATTGTGAGCCCCAGACGCTGGAGGTGGCTGATGAGAAAACTCCTGTGGTCACAAAGCTCACTTACTGAGGGAGCCATAATTAACCAGTCGTCTAGGTAATTCGCTATTCGTATTTCCTCCAAACGAAGAGGGGAGAGGGCAGTGTTCATGCACTGGGTGAAAGTGCGTGGAGCTAAGGAAAAGCCGAAGGGGAGGACCGAAAATTGATAGGCCACTCCTTCAAAAGCAAATCTCAGAAAGTGCCTGTGATGAGGGGTTATCTGGATATGGAAATAAGCATCCTTTAGGTCCACTAAAATAAACCAGTCCTGGGGTTGAATGTGTGATAGGATCATCATTTTGAATGAGTGTTTCACTAGAGTGCGATTTAAATGTCTAGAATAGGGTGAAGATTGCCGTCTTTTTTTTGGAACTAGAAAATAGCGGCTGTAAAAACTGGTTTCGCTTTCCTCGGGAGGCACCATCTCCATAGCTCCTTTGGCGAGGAGATTGTGTAACTCTGCTCCTAAAACTGGAGCGTTTGGAGCTCTAACTTCCGACGTCACCACTCCATTGAACCGGGGTGGTCTGCGTGCAAACTGAAGTGGGTAGCCATTTATTATCGTGTTCAACACCCACTCTGATATACCTGGTAATATTCTCCATGCCTTCAGGAACTGTGAAAGAGGTTTCAGTGTGACATGATCTGACAGCCCGTTGCTAGGTGACGGGGAGCTTTGAAAGACATGAGTGCATGTGACAGCGGGAAGAGGAGAAAAGCTCTTTTGTGAAGTTGTTTGGTTTTTATTGCACAAACATGTGGAACAAACACAGAAAAACATTCTTTGTCCTCACCACCTGCAACTGGCAGGGAGGTGTCGCTGTCATCAGGCTTCAGTCTCCTCTTCCTCTGAAATCCGTCAGGAACTCGACTGGACATTCTTGGCTGGTTTTCCTCATGCTTGGGGTCCATGCTGCTTGGAAGGTGGGTATCGCCGATGCCACGAGTCCTTGGGATGCACTGACGGCTCCGGCTGTGGGTGGGGCTTTGGAGCTGTATCGGCTCGTGGCCTAGAGGAAGAGCGCTGAGCGGATGAGCAGCATGAACACATGGGAGGGGGCTGACCAGTGAGTTTCAGCATAAAATGCTTCATAGACCTTGACTGCATTTTCGCTTCGGAGAATCACTCTGCAAGGGATTCAACCGAGCTGACAAAAAGCCCAGAGGGACTGATGTGGGCGTTCAAACGGATGGCCTTCTCTGCCTCCCTAACATCCGTCAGCGTTAGCCATAGGCTAACCAATGACTGTTATCTTAATGGATTACAGAGCAAGATCAGTGGCACTGCGAAGCTCCCTAAAAACTTCAGGATTCCGGCCGAGTACAGTGCATTCCACATCTTTGAGACCTCATCGTACACCTCAGGGAAGAAGGGGGTGGGCCTTTGTGGGCAAGCCTCTCTGCGTCGACTGGGCTGAAGATACCACTCGTCCTGTCTATTTCGTTCTGGTTCGGTGGGAGGGTACCACTCCAGGTTGAGCTCCTCCACCGCCTTAGAGATGACGTGCAGAAAAGGTTTGCAGTATAATCAACTTTTTGCGTTGATTCGACAACGAAAGAGAGGCTTCCAAATAATTCAGGTGAAGGAGAAAGATTCTGAAGAAAATGCCGCTGTGCACTGCGTTATAAGAGGTACCACGCCCCCTTATTTTTGCACGCTTGAGCACCATTGAGCGCCATTGCTTGAGCGCAAAGCAATGGCATTAAGCAAATCCGGCTTCAGTATTCTAAGCAGAAAGGTGTTTTCCCAATGCGTCAGCATAACTGCACACTATGCCGAGAGACCATCTCGAAAGGGAACTCCGGGATATTGGTTTATTTCGAGTTAGAGGGAGTGTCAGGCACATCAAAAAGCGAGCAACTTAAATAATTTGTGGATTAGTGCTTACTGAAGATGCGAACTGTTTCAAACGATTCAGTCTGATTTGGTGAACTGGTTGAACCAGTTCACTACAAAGAACCGTTTCAATAGAACAATTCGTTCACGAACCAGACATCCCTATTATTTTCATCTGTTCGCATCTGCTTCGACTTGCCAGACACACCTTTTAAGCACCTAATAAGTTGTTCGCGGGAGGCGGGAGCTGGCCTGGTTTTCTATTCGGGAAAATAAAATAAAGCGAAACTGGGATGATTTTTGCTTAAAAAATATTACCATCTCAACAGCATATGGCGGTGTAATTGGACTATTACCTGCAAAGTCGATTTGAACAGCTTGGCTCTGATTGATCAAATTGAATGCAGCTACTGCATAAAAAAAAAAAAAAACTTTCGACTGGCAAGTAACATAAATAAAATATTTACCTAGAATCACAAAATAATGAGGTTCCAAATCTACACACATAGACGCTTTAAGAAGCTGGGAAAAATAAATATATAACAATGAATGTTATATTTAATTTAACAGTTCACCCCCACATCCATCGACACACCAGAGGGACTGATGTGGGCGTTCAAACGGATGGCCTTCTCTGCCTCCCTAACATCCGTCAGCGTTAGCCATAGGCTAACCAATGACTGTTATCTTAATGGATTACAGAGCAAGATCAGTGGCACTGCGAAGCTCCCTAAAAACTTCAGGATTCCGGCCGAGTACAGTGCATTCCACATCTTTGAGACCTCATCGTACACCTCAGGGAAGAAGGGGGTGGGCCTTTGTGGGCAAGCCTCTCTGCGTCGACTGGGCTGAAGATACCACTCGTCCTGTCTATTTCGTTCTGGTTCGGTGGGAGGGTACCACTCCAGGTTGAGCTCCTCCACCGCCTTAGAGATGACGTGCAGAAAAGGTTTGCAGTATAATCAACTTTTTGCGTTGATTCGACAACGAAAGAGAGGCTTCCAAATAATTCAGGTGAAGGAGAAAGATTCTGAAGAAAATGCCGCTGTGCACTGCGTTATAAGAGGTACCACGCCCCCTTATTTTTGCACGCTTGAGCACCATTGAGCGCCATTGCTTGAGCGCAAAGCAATGGCATTAAGCAAATCCGGCTTCAGTATTCTAAGCAGAAAGGTGTTTTCCCAATGCGTCAGCATAACTGCACACTATGCCGAGAGACCATCTCGAAAGGGAACTCCGGGATATTGGTTTATTTCGAGTTAGAGGGAGTGTCAGGCACATCAAAAAGCGAGCAACTTAAATAATTTGTGGATTAGTGCTTACTGAAGATGCGAACTGTTTCAAACGATTCAGTCTGATTTGGTGAACTGGTTGAACCAGTTCACTACAAAGAACCGTTTCAATAGAACAATTCGTTCACGAACCAGACATCCCTATTATTTTCATCTGTTCGCATCTGCTTCGACTTGCCAGACACACCTTTTAAGCACCTAATAAGTTGTTCGCGGGAGGCGGGAGCTGGCCTGGTTTTCTATTCGGGAAAATAAAATAAAGCGAAACTGGGATGATTTTTGCTTAAAAAATATTACCATCTCAACAGCATATGGCGGTGTAATTGGACTATTACCTGCAAAGTCGATTTGAACAGCTTGGCTCTGATTGATCAAATTGAATGCAGCTACTGCATAAAAAAAAAAAAAAACTTTCGACTGGCAAGTAACATAAATAAAATATTTACCTAGAATCACAAAATAATGAGGTTCCAAATCTACACACATAGACGCTTTAAGAAGCTGGGAAAAATAAATATATAACAATGAATGTTATATTTAATTTAACAGTTCACCCCCACATCCATCGACACACATACACACATGCACATCCTGAACTGGTAAACGGAAGCTCAGATGCGCTTGCTTGATGCATGAAGACCAATCCGGTTTTGTCACGTGTGTTACGCAAGCACCTCTGAGCTTTCACAAATGCCAATGAGGTTTGTTTTCACGCATTACACGGTACGTTGAGCTTATTTGAATTCAGGTCCATAAACAAGTAAATAAATAGGGGTTTTAAGCATATACTTGGGAAAATTATTTCTGATGCACTTCAAATGATACGATGTTGAAATGCTTGTGGAAAGTACAGTTAAATAGTATTACAAGTAATGTATCATGTTATGCATTTAAAAGTGAAATTAATATGTATTTTAATTGTATTACAAAACAGCCTAGCATTCTTTTACAACTACAGACAAGTAAAACCGAGCAACATATTGATTTTATGCTTATTACTAAGGCATAGTTGAAATAATTATATGTATAATACATTATAAGTTGGTACAATGTAAG